CCTCTTAATAACTTCATACACAGAATTGTTGATAATACATTTACATTTAGTCCTTGAGCAGACGCTTTTATCCAAAGCGACTTACAATTGGGGGATACATAAAGCGATTCTTCTTAAAGAGGCAAACAGACACATGAAGTGGTTGTAATACCAAGTTCTTAGACATTGTTCAAATAAGTACAAGCTAGAAAGAGAAGGAATAAATAAAGAGAGAGAAATTTAAAAAAAATAAAAAAAATTTATGAACTTTGGATACCTCCCCTCCCCAAGACACCCTGAAAGACCTACCAGTGAGATAGGATTGAAACCAGCTAAGTGGAATCCCTGTGATGCCCATTGAAGAGAGGGTAGACAGGAGGATCTGATGATTGACAGTGTCAAAAGCAGCAGTAAGATCCAGCAGAATAAGGACTGATGATTTGGAATCAGCTTTTGCAAACCGCATGGCTTCCGTGACTGACAGTAGCGCAGTCTCAGTTGAATGGTCACTCCTGAAACCTGACTGGTTAGGATCCAGTTTGTTGTTCTGTGAAAGAAACAATGATATCTGGTTGAAAACAACTCTTTCGAGGGTTTTCAATATGAATGGAAGGAGAGAGACCGGTCTGTAGCTATCTGTAAGTGAAGTGTTTAATGTAGGTTTTTTGAGCAGTGGGGTTATCCGAGCCTGCTTGAATGCAGTGGGGAAGGTGCCTGTGAGGAGAGATGTATTGATGATGTGTGTGAGTGTTGGTAAAAGTGTAGGAGAGATTGCTTGGAGGAGGTGTGAGGGGATTGGGTCTAGAGGGCATGTTGTAGGATGGCTGGAGAGCAGAAGTTTTGATACTTCTATATATATATATAGTATTGTAATAGCATTATATAGTGGTTCATTATATTGAGGGGTTTTTTTAGTCACAGACCAGACTATTTTTTCGGATAAGCAAGACATTTTTTTTTAAAGCACAGAGAATGACAATGCCGTGAAGGGTTTTTGACATAGGCTAATTTTATGTGTATGTATACGCAACTCGGTATTTCCGCACTGTCTGAAACACGTCTTTATGCTTGTGTGCGCTTTGATTGTGTGCGAGAACAACGCGTGAGTAACGAATTGAGCTCTCTTTTGTTTCTTCTTCTTGTGGTTTAAAATTTCTACTCCATATCAATTGCATACAATGAAAACACATAATAATTAGAACAATCATTAACATAAATAAATAACAGAGTGTCATATCTATACATATTTTTCCCAGAACGCTCTTACGACCTGGTAGCAATTCTTCCATGGTCCGGTAGTGGGTCGCGACCTGGTGGTTGGGGACCTCTGCTCTAAAATGTCTTTGTAAAAGGTTAGATAAAACTAGGCCCTCCCACACAGGCACTAGTCTGCCGGAGGAATCTAAGCGAACACTAGAGAGAGGTGGAATTCGATACCAGCCTGGGCATCCTTGGATAGGTGGCGCCGCTCCTCCCAGGATTATGTTGCACCCAGCCATGATGGTCTGCCAGACCCCCTGGTGTTTCTTCCTATTCGGCTTGCGGGTCTCTTTGGTGGATGATGTTGTTGATGCTGATGAACGGGGATGAGGTGGATAATGAGGTGGTTTGTTGCTAGGGTTGATGACAGCACACTTCTTGGCCTCCACACCACACGACTTGCTGCTCTCAACAAACCTCCAGACGTTGCTGCGGACCGAAGGCCACCAGGCAACTCCCAGGATCTGCAGTAGGGTCTTTAGACGTCCATGGTGTTTCTCTGCTGTCCTCTGGTGGAAATGCTGTACCATCTGCTGAACCAGCTTCTTAGGGACGACAAGCTGGATTTTGTAGATGTCGTCCCCCTTCTGGATCCGCCAGTACAGCCAGCCCTGATGTTCCTGCACTTCGATCCTGCTGGTCGGTGGAGTGGAGGAAGAGATGGAAAGTCCCTGGAGAGTGCCGTCATCACCCTGTGCGCAGCTGCGTCACACGGATACGCTGTTTTCTTTCAGATCAAATCACAACAATGTAGGAAACAGATCCAGCATGACGCAGCTGACACAGAACAGCATACGTTGTTTACGTCCAGCTGATACTCTTCAAAATGGCGCTACAGGGTGACGAATTGTTGAATAAAGTCGTTATTTTTTCTTTTGCGCACAAAAAGTATTCTCGTAGCTTGGTATAGTTGCGGATGAACCACTGATGTCACAGATTATTTTACAGATCGCCTTGCTACGTTTCTGGACTTGGGAACATTTCAGTTGCGTTGCTGTCTATGCAGGGTCAGACAGCTCTCAGATTCCATCTAAAATATCTTAATTTGTGTTCCGAAGATGAACGAAGGACTTACGGGTTTGAAACAACATGAAGGTGAGTAATTAATGACAGCATTTTCATTTTTCGATGAACTATCTCTTTAAGGGGATGTGTCACTTTCAGTGTCTGTATTGACCTTGGTTGTTTTTACACGAAACACAAATTTTTAATGTTTACACAATTATATGAAGTGGTTTTGTGAACACTGTTTAATTTATAAGATCCATGAACTCAAAATTGTTCTTACTGTATTATCAAAGTTGTGCTTCTCAATATATCAATATATAATATTTTTGTATAAACTGTGAAAAACATACAGACACAACTAAACCGGGAGGATGCATGAAAATAAAGATAAAAAGATAATAAAGCCATAATAATAATAATAATAAAAAATACAATATATTGTTCAATTCTTACCATATTCATAATTATGGAAAATGTATTCATTACTATCTAAAGAAATTTCATCATAAGAGTATACAAACTGATCAGTCACAACATTAAAACCACCTGCCAAATATTATGTCTGCTTTGTGCTGCCAAAACAGCTCTGATGTGAAGGACTTCTGAAAGACATTTACGATGTGGGGCCTCCATGGATCGGATTTGATGGTCCAGAACATCCCATAAGATGCTCAACCCAAGGTTTCCCAGCAGAACTGACTGTTCACTTGCTGCCTAATATATCTCACCTCTTAAAAGGTGCCATTGTAATGATCAGTGTTATTCACTTCCCCTTTCGATGGTTTTAATGTTTCTTTTTCATGGTTCAGTAGTATTCCACCAGAAGCCGTACTGAGCATTTAGTATTCTACCCTTCATGTTTTCAAACAGTCGCCTAGGTTACCGATTTCTCATGATAAGAGTGCTAATCTAGGGTGAGTATGCTCCATGAGTGTGGTTATATACGTAGATTATAGGAATTGATTGTAAATCAACACCATTTCACTGAGAACATGAATATGCTTGGACACAGCTTGTGCTGATGCGGTGATTGTTGATGATTATCTTACATTCTGAAAAAAACAAACACTACTTTTTGCATTTGGATGCAGCTTTGTGGACTGATTATTTTAAGGTATTCTCAACATGTTCTCAACATAATGGTGACAGATTGGATTTATACCGTAGATGAGACAACACCACCTTAGACCAGACAAACAGACACTTTGCTACCTGCTGGACAGAATAGACCTTGTAAATGGCACCTATAAACTCCTCACAAGTCTCTTGACTGTTGTACAGTAGTGATTATTGGGAAAACATTTGGTTACACTTTATTTCGATAGTCCACTTTAGACATTCTACTAATTATAAGTAACTTTGTAACTACATGTCAACTAATTCTCATTAATTTGCATCTACATGTCTACTAACTCTCAGAGTAGACTGTTAGGGTAGGTTTAAGGTAAGTAGAATAAGTTGACAAAGAAAGTGTTAGAAGATATTAAGCAGACAGTCTACTAATACTCTACTAACTGCTAGTTGACATGTAGTTGTAAAGTTACTTACTGTTAATAGAATGTCTAAAGTGGACTATTGAAATAAAGTGTTACCAAACATTTTTAGGCAATGGCTTTGGTGTTCAAGGACAGCTGACATATTTGGGTATGAGTTTTTAACACACCCACCCACACACACACTGACAGAAAACAAGTATTTTCCAATGATCTCTGAGAAAACCTACTCCAATAATCTTTGTTTTATTTTCAACTTAATAACAGAGTATAAAATTAAACACACCCATAAATATACAGTATGTCTAGCTTTTGACATTTGTGTGTGTGTGTGTGTATTATTATAAAATTTTGTTTTACATATATAATAATACCATTGAACGCTGTTTGAAACACTTCTAAAGGATGTCCTTAACTAGCATTATCTGTTTAGATAATATTTATCTAATATTAACCCTCTATCACAATTTAATAGTCATGTTGCTATAATGATCTTTTCTGGTTCTTGGCATGTATATGCATAATTGTCTTTTTATCCTGGAGCAGAAGGATGTAATAATTCACCTATTTGAAAAAAAAAAAGCTTTTTAGCTAACAGGTTATAAATGATGTATTGTGTATCACAACTGTAACTGCACAAGACTACAATGCAACCTGTTTATTTATTAGTTTTTAAAATTTATTTTCCTTAAAACAAAAATATATAATATAAACAATATAAAAACATATTTTCTTAAAGCAGTTTTAAAGTTGTGATGATGTTGATAAGGAAACATACATCAATAAATAGCCAGGTTTGGGATTAGAGTTACATATTATGTTCTTTAAACACACATTTGACTGGAGATTGGCATTTTCCGTGATTGAGTTTTGAGGTCATATTCTCATCAGGAACCTAATAGTATTCCTGTTCCTGAAATCAAATCCACCTGTTCACAGAGCAGAACCAGGTACAATGTCTAATAGAATATGACCTACACACCATTACAGCTAAACAACAAAGCAGTTCCAAATAAAGGGATTTTCAACATTAATCTTTGGATGTTCTCGACGGTTGTCTAATGTGAGCACATAAAAGGCCCTTGTTAGCTTTTGTGTTCCATACCCCCTTATTAGTTCATGTGAATACAGTCAATGTTTAATCTAGAGGTTGTTTCCTCATGTTATTCAAATTAGTGAAGTGGATCTCATCATAAAAGGGCTGCGAGAAGAATTTCTGTAGTCCTAAAACAGTTCTGCACCAAATATCTATTGGACAGCATGGCTCTGCCAGAGGCAGCACTTTTAGGAATAATCATTGTATTCTCAGGTTAGCTCATCTTGATTACTTTAATAAATTATTTATATAATTTAATCTAATGGATTAAAGTAATATCACATTTAAATGCATGTCATTTTTAATTTAAGTACTTTATTACATTGACTGATTATTATTTATTATCCAGTTATTTTTTATTAACCATTATTTTATTATTATTATCATTATTATTGTTATTGTCGATATTATGTTTTATGTATGGCTAGATGTGGTACAAATCATGAGGATTTTTTTTCCTGCTTTTATTTACAGGCCACATTCATTCTGTGTTTACAGCTCAAAGTAAGAAAGTATTGCATTTTATCTACTTTAATACATAATTGATCATGTTTAATTATGTTAATAGCATGTCCAATATTTCTCAATATTCCTGGGAAATTAAATTTTGTTTTGTTGTGTTTTTTGAGACTAATCACTTCTGACATGTTAAATAAATAAATAAACAAACACACAAAGAGCTGTTGTCCCAAATAAGATCAATATTTATTTGGGTTCTTTTTTTCAGATGTATGTAAGACATATGGCAGTGGCATCTATTATACCTTCAACAAAACTGCGTTTCATCTGAAGACTACATGTCCTGTAACGCTTACACACTTCAGTCATACTGGAGTGGACTGTCATATCATCGTCCAGCGTGGACTGAATGGCCTGATGGACAGAGTGGAGATCATCATAAATAAAATCACAACCCTCATTCACAATGACACTGTGACTGTGGAAGGCAGCAGGTATGGGATTTATGAGTCACATATGTGACCAAAATTTAGATTTGAGTTTAAAAGGGTTGTTCATGTTGTCCAAGGAGCTTAAAAATGTTGTAATTATAATATTATATTGTATTTGATTACAACAATGTTATATTTGACTTAGAATTAATATCACAGAGTTTTCTGACTTCAGGGCTTGGAGCATGTGAATAAATATGTTGACTACATTCGTAGTATTTATCAATAAAAATGTTGATTGTTAATATATCCGCATAACATATTTGCTAATCTATTATCTATCACAGTATTTCCCTTCCATACGACCAAACCTATCAGCATGTGTTTCATTATGGAATCTATACCAGGCTCCAAAGCAAAGTTTTGCCAGTGTCTGTCACATGGTACAGTGTAGCTAATGGTGTCAGTTCGCTTTGGGTGAGTTATCATTAAAGACAATGGTCTACAAGATTACGAAATTCTTAATGTAGCATTGTTGATTTAACCAAAAGAATAAACATATGTGGTTATCACTTTATATCGACCCTGGCAGTATTGTATTTTGTATGTAATCTTTGAGCACATATCTTGTAGGTGCAACTGGACCAGGATTTAGTGGAGGGTATGAGTGGACTTTGTGGGCACCAAAACAGCTCAGGTGAGTGTGTTCAGTTGTTATGTGCTGTTTAAACAATGAGTTTTGAGATATAATCTTAAAATACTTTCTGGTGGTGTTTCCTGTTTGCTATTTTGTTTATAGAAACTATGCAGCAACTGATATCCACCAGTATCCTCTCTGATGGACAATGCCTGATACAAGACTCTGTTGTGCAAACAAACACAGTGAGTTTCTGCACAGCTGAACAAAAATAAACTGTATTGTTAATATACTGTATATATATATATATATATATATATATATATATATATATATATATATATATATATATAT